TATTATTTTTAGTGTAGAAAGGATTTAGGAGTGCATTTATGCTGCTCTTATATTTGGTTATGATTGAGGAGGAATGAGGAATAATTATCCTTGTACTCTGTAAGCTATCTAAACAGGGTCTTTCTATACCTGTAAACTTTCTTTTCTACAAAATTTACCCCCTCAACTCTAAAGAACAACAAAAGGCATGTGATTGTTATTCTGCTGCCATTTATACAAAGTTATATAAAGATGATATTGAAACTTTTTTGGGATTCAGTCACTTAATGTTGTGTCATTTGACATAGTCACTTGAGCTAAGGCTTCTTTGGTTTAGCAAAGGGATATCATGATGTTCGCACTTTGTTGTAGGTTGTAATGTTGATGTTCAAATAATCATATGTTCTATGCTTGTACTTCATTGCTCAAACTGTCAAAAGTTACCTGGGACCACAAGATTTCAAGCATAACATATTGTTAGTATTTTAGAGGAGTAATTTATGCATATGATGATCATATGTTTCAACTTGTGTGCTCAATTGAAATAATTTATTCTTAGTGATGTACTTGTTTCTTGCCTCTTGAGAGATTAATGTAGCTAACCCCTCTATTATTCAATTCAATGCAGCGAAGTGTGAAGGAGGACGTGGCAAACATAATAGCACCCCTGATGGTTAGACCAATAACAAGGTGGCCCTTTTTTGTTTTCTTAGGAGGGGCAATGTTTTGTTTACTCGCTAGCAGCACATGCCACCTCCTCTCTTGCCATTCCGAGCGCTTGTCATACATCATGCTCAGGCTAGACTATGCTGGGATTGCAGCCCTCATATCTACTTCCTTCTATCCTCCTGTGTATTACTCCTTCATGTGTAACCCATTTTTCTGCAATCTCTACATGGTATTCATAACCGTCTTGGGAGTAGCCACAATTTTGTTCTCTCTGCTGCCAATGTTTCAGACTCCAGAGTTTCGTACCATCCGAGCATCCCTCTTCCTTGGTATGGGCTTGTCTGGGATAGCTCCTATTTTTCACAAGCTCATCTTGTTCTGGCACCAGCCTGAGGCACTCCACACTACCGGGTATGAGATTTTGATGGGACTTCTGTATGGGCTTGGGGCCCTGGTGTATGCCACAAGGATTCCAGAGCGATGGATGCCTGGAAAATTTGACATTGCTGGGCATAGCCACCAACTTTTCCACATATTGGTTGTGGCTGGTGCATACACCCATTATCGTGCTGGGCTGGTTTACCTCAAATGGCGAGACCTTTATGGATGTTAAAAGATATGGGCATATGATAGCAGATGATTGATGTGATTTGAGTCTGGTTTATGGTTATTTACCTAGAGCCTTCTCTTCATCATCTTTGTATCGTTTTCTTATATACATATATAAACAAAACTAATAAGAATAATGGCAAATTTCATTGTTCATTCCAGAAAACGAAAGGTGCTAGTGCATTATCAGGTCAACAACGTTGCTTCCGCTTACTAAACGGGTGCTCTAACCAACTGAGCTATGAAAGCTTTTGCTTCTCATTTGCAAAAGTTACTTATATAATTGTTTTCTTCTTTTCTAATAAAAGGTACAATTTGGACCATTTTGTCAGAGTATCACGAGGGAGGGTCCCGTTTGCTGTTTAGAAAAAGTAGAGTTGTCTGGTGTTTTGTAGATTTACATCGAGAACAAATTTCTGATAACAGTCATATTATCAAATTAATGAATTAAATTGATGCATTTCTAACTATTCTCGCATCTGACCAGGTGAGACCAACATGAGAAGATTAACTTCCTCCTTTTTTTTTTTTGGGGTTGATGTTATGATAAGATCAACTAAATGTGCATAAAAAGTTAATAAACGTCTGCTTAACACACACCAAAAAAAAAAAAAAAAGAAGAAAGAAAGAAAAATAGATTGTCCTTTTTCTTTTCTTTTCTTTTCTTTTTTAATGGTGAAGCAACACTATTCAAAGAATTATTATTTTTTTCTTCTAAAAGCGTTTGCGAATAAAGAGTAATATAATTATACTATCTAGTGATGTAGTTAAATCTAATTGTGTTATGATCATGCGTCTCTTCGTTTTGGAATAAGGCTTGGTTTAATCTAATTAATCGGAGTAGTATTAACGTAACATTGTTAAACAGGCAAATAAACGAAGAAACGGAAATTTCGTAGGCGAAATTCCAGTCCCAGTGTCGGTACCCATCTCACGTGCCAAACCCTTTGAATTCGAATCGTCCTCCCATATTTAACACGTATCCAACACCACCGCACTTCACGGCGTATTTTCCCATATTAGGCTAGCATCCGGCGCCACTCTTCGCCTGGAATTGGAGACTCAGTAGCACAACAGGGCTGGCTGTCGCCTACCCATCCACTCAAACCAGGGTTAGAACCGCCATAACCATTTCAGGAAAAAGTTAGTTTTTAAGTCCATGTGGTAGCTTGAATCTCTCAGAAAATTCCAGAAATCTCTCAACAGATTCTGTCTCAGTTTGAACTTCGAAGCTGTACAGACATGCAAGAAAGGAGGTAAAACTCCAGATGGTGTCTCCTGAGCTGTCTCATTCCCAGTCTTCTTCCATGGTGAAGTCTAAGAACAGGACCTCTTGGTCCCTCACAGATGGGTTTCTTTACCTGTGTGGAGCATTCTTAGCCCTTTTGTTGGTTTGGTGTTTCTGGTCGTTTTTCATTCCCGGATCGGATTTTGAGCCGGAGGTTACTGGGTCATCGAAACTGAAGGATTCCCAAAGTTGCGCTGATTCTGGAATGGGGGTTGATCTGGGGTACGACCCGAAGGCGACCACCTTCTATGATGATCCAGAAATGAGCTACTCTATTGAGAAGCCGGTTAAGGGCTGGGACGAGAAGCGGAAGGAGTGGCTGAAGCATCACCCTTCATTCGCCGCCGGAGCCAGTGAGAGGATCGTTCTCGTAACGGGGTCTCAGTTAAAACCTTGTAAGAATCCGATCGGCGACCATTTGCTTTTGAGGTTTTTCAAGAACAAAGTGGACTACTGCAGAATCCACGGTTACGACATCTTCTACAACAATCTGTTACTGCACCCGAAAATGCACACGTACTGGGCGAAGTTACCAGTGGTCAAGGCGGCGATGCTGGCTCACCCGGAGGCCGAGTGGATCTGGTGGGTCGACTCGGACGCGGCGTTCACCGACATGGAATTCAAGCTCCCATTAGAGAGATACAAGAACCACGACCTGGTAGTTCATGGGTGGCCCCGTATGATTTACCAAGACAAGAGCTGGACCAGCCTCAACGCTGGAGTTTTCCTGATCAGAAACTGTCAGTGGTCCATGGATTTGATCAACGTATGGGCTAACATGGGTCCCATGAGTCCGGAGTACGAGAAGTGGGGACAGATTCAGAAATCAACGTTCAAGGACAAGCTCTTCCCGGAATCGGACGATCAGGCGGCTCTGATCTACCTTCTCTACAAACACAGAGACAAATATTACGATCATATCTACTTAGAGGGGGAATTTTATTTTGAAGGGTATTGGGTCGAAATCGTCGGCGGATACGATAACATCACGGAGAGGTATTTGGAAATTGAGAGGGGAGTGCCCAAGTTACGGCGGCGTCACGCCGAGAAAGTGAGCGAGCAATACGCTGCATTTAGGGAGGAGTACCTGAAGGAGGCAGGAAACGGGAGGGGAAGCTGGAGGCGGCCGTTCATCACGCACTTCACCGGGTGTCAGCCGTGCAGTGGGGACCACAATCAAATATACGACGGTAAGTCCTGCTGGGGCGGGATGATAAAGGCGTTGAATTTCGCCGACAATCAGGTCCTCCGCAAGTATGGGTTCGTCCACCCTGATCTACGGAATTCAGCCTCCGTGTCGGAGGCGCCATTTGATTATCCTGCTGAAGAGGGCCCATGGTAAAAGAATCAAAGGTACTTACTTTATTGCTTTTGTTTATTTATTTATTTATCATTTTGATGCTTTGACTGCATTTCTGCAAACCGAGGTGTAAAGTGTCATTGAGGCTTTATCTTTTTGGATGGGCTTAAAATAATGCATGATTGGAGGATAATTTGTTTATGGTAATGATTTTGATACAATGTTTATATAATGTAACTCGATATCAAACTAGTGAATGTATATCACCAAATAAAAAAAAAAAAATTATTCAACTACTTGTTTAATGTTACTTGACATTGTAAAAAATACTATTATTATAAGGAAATAACCAAAATATTGTAACTCAGTCACTTTAGATATGTTAATGGGAGAATTATGATATGGGTGGGTAGGTGAGATTTGAGAATTGGGGTTTTCAATAAAGAATTGTAGGGAGGAATGATATCGATAGTTCTTCATTGATTTTTGACTAAATTATGTGACTTTAGGGTAGCATGATGGGGATGGCCAAAAAGGGTAGCATGATGGGGATTTGTACTATATTTTCCATAGAGAGAAGTTAGAAGTCCAAGTTACCTTGATTACACGATTAGAATATCAAATAGTAAGCTACAATCTGGAGTTTCCTTCCAATGTTCAAAGCTGAAACAGAACTCTTTTTTGGCAGTTAGGCCAAGTTAGGTAGATTTTCATCTTTTACACTCTGTTGCTGGTTCTATTGCAATTTTTAAAGAGAATGATAAATGTGTGTCTTTATTTGGCAAATAAATGCTGAATATGTTAGATTTTGCATATACCGTGTAAATTTTTTTAGGAATTTCCAGCCACATAAAAGTGCGAGTTCCATGGAATAATGCAGCCCAACTGTTGATCCAAAAGGTGGTTGTATGTCTTAGTTGTTGAATTGGGAAGTATGTGTGCAGTATACTTCACATATTCAGTATTCCTGCAATGGGAAAATTGTTTAAATAGTTTGTCTTTATACACATTTCTATTCTGAAATACTTTTCATTGCATCTGATAGCTCCAAACTAAGACTTCCGTATTGCAGAAGAGATGAAATGATTCGAGTAAGCTACTTAATCTTGAAAACATGCCAACATAGCATAGCAGTTCAGTTCTTAATCCTTATATTGAGGGATGTGTCTAGGATTGAAGCTCTGAGTGATGCTATTCTAATTATACGAAACTACTTTGTTTTTACCCTGAATTGATCCTGACTTTTGTGGCACTGGAGTTGCATAGCTATGTAACTTCATTTTTTATATGAATGGTTTCCCACTGCTGCACTCTAGATCTCATTTTTGGTTGTATCTATTTAGGAAAAGGAAATGAGTAATTCCTGCTACTAATAGTCAAATCTCATGCGGCTGTTATTTGTTTTTTGGAGCAATAATGTTATGATTTTGCTTGTATGTTATGTTTCTAATTATTATAAAACTCATGATTTTGCTTTCCTTAAACAGCAGAAGAGAAGCCTTATTTGATGCATCCAATTTCAGTTCAGTCATGAAAACAAACCTCTGTTCATCATCTTTGGAGTGCACTTGGAATGGCTGCATTTGGTTATTTGCATCTGATACTAACTGGAAAGTTTCCTGTTAGAAATCAGTCATGTTATCCAGGTTTTTTTGGAACCATCATTCACATGCTTCTCAGATGTAGAAAACAGTCCTGGATTTGGATATCTTTATAAGATGCTCATCAGAGCATGCATTATAATTTGGCCAAGTGCATAGTGTTTTCAACTTTGAAATGTTCATCTATATTACTTGCATGTTGTGGATCTTGTAGTACAAAAGATATTTTATATAAACTAAGTTTGAGAGAATTTAGAAAGCGTCAACCAGAAAATGTGACGAGAACTATTATAGATACTGTCAAAAACTTGTTCAATTAACTAAGGTAGTTCCAAGTATTGAGCTTTCGAGGATAATCAATGTGGAACTACTTCAATCATCACTATTGAATTTGAGCCTGCATTCTTGGTCTCTAGTCTCCACGTTAGTCAATTTTAACTTCTGATCTGGATTGCGATCCCAGTGGCTCATTGTCAGAGTACTTGACAGGTTGGGCCCGGGCAGAAATAATCGGTAGAGGACCACAATACAACCCCCCCCGGTCAAAACTTCTTTGCCATACTCCCATTCGTCAGCTTCTTCTGAAAATTGTAGGTTTCGTGTTCTTGATCTCCTTGCCAAACACAGGGACTAGGAGACTGCCTGTAGTCTAGGAGACTGAGACGGACCAAAAGGTAAATAGTCTAATACAAATCCTATACAGCTTATAATTAGTAATGGCATGGCATCTTCCTTCGTGGCATTTTGTCGAACACCTGTGGGTTCATTTTGCAGTTTACCAGTGTGATCATCTGTTAGGCATAGCAACTAGCAAGGTCCCCATGAATAACTAATGAACGATTAAACCACATTTACAATGGCAATGAATGAAACTAACTATGAAAAGCTACTTCTGTCTGATTGTCCCTATTGCTGAGCGACAAATCTTTGTCTCGCACATTTGCTAGTATTTGTTGAACCAGGGAAGATTCATTTGGAAAACAGCCTGTTGGATTATTCTATTATGTTCAAGCCACAAATGATATACTACAACATTCCAAGCTACCTTAACCAAAGTGTGATGCAAAGCTTTTAGGCTTTGTCTTCTTATATAATCCACTTTTGCTCATAAATGTCAGAGATGGGGGATGATGATATAACACCCACTCTGTTTCTCTTGGTTTCCAGAAGAATCAATCTTGCATTATGATGAAAAAACTGCTCATGTCACTGCAAAGCAGCCCAATCAAGAGGGACTGGGGCATAGGCTAGGAAGAGGAAGCTCTTGAGTATACCCTTATCAAACAAGCTAATTTGTTGTTAGATTGAGACCAAACCTATGGCAAGTTGGTATCAGAATGGCTCAATTCCTCATATGAATAAATTGATACAAAGATGCTGTCGGCTATAATATTTATGAGCTTCATTACCGGCATGATTCTTCTGAAAACATTGAATGTGCTTAACCATACCCACATACATATAGCAAGAGTAGCTACGTGTTCCTTTTTTACAAGGCAAAAGACATTACAAATTTACTTTAGACACCAACTACTTCTGGTACATGCCCTTGCCACCAGCCAAAGTCGTTTTCAATCGAAAAAAAAAAGGCTAGTCATATCTTCTGTACCCGGCCAACTGTAATGTCGGCCGACTTTAGGGTTGCAGGGCACAACCAATTTCCAGCACCAATTATTGTCATCACATTACAGGGGGATGGATTCCAGATGTTTCAATAAATTTGGATTGTGAATCAAAGAGATAATGTTTTCTAAACACTTTTTAAGATAATGCTTTTATTATTAGTGACTAGACATCATAATAACAGAACGAAGAAAAGACCTTTAATCTAACTTTTCCCCTTCTAGTATAATCCAAGTGCGGAGACTCCAGTCCAGTCTCTCCACAAATCTAAAAAAATAGAATGCCATTTATGCACATACCTTTGAATAATTTCATAGGGCTACTCAAAAACAATTGGATTTTTTTTTTCCTTTTGACACTTGCTGATAGGCTAACATGAGATAGTCGTCTTTCTTCTTCTTTTCTTTTTTTTTTTTCAAACCTTAATTCATTCATTTTAAGAACTAATTTTCAAACCTCCAACTTAGAATATAATGTTCTAACTAGTTGAAAAACGAGATACCTTGAGGGAACTAAAATAATTGTTAATAAAATATTGTCACCACCACCTGCAAACTAAA